TCATTCATACCAACCCCCACTTGCAATAGATTTAACTGGTCTAAGGGCCTGAATCTCTTTGGAAGAAAACTAGCCCTTAACATAATGCACACAAAAAAAGATCAACTAGCGGCCAATGAATTGGGCCTTACAGTACAGGAATATGAACTTCCCAAAACTCTGGATAGCCTCCTATATGAAAATGACCCCACCAGGCCACTAACAGATTTCAAACCACCAAGCTATTTTACTCCTAATTTCATAGACACACCTCACGTGGATCTTTTTCTTCAGATGTCATTAAATTAATTTGAGACTAACGGTAATCCTACTTCTACCACTAGCAACCTAAGCTTCCTGGAACATAAAGCTCTTAAAGATTTACAACAACAAACTGATGTAATAATCAAACCAGCTGACAAAGGGGCCTACATAGTCCTCTTAAACCGCTCTGAATATGTTAGTATGTGCATGTCACATCTTAATGACACTACATATTACAGAACTCTCCCTTCGGACCCTACCAGTATCTATGTTGGTGAACTTGAGACACTATTAGATGATGCCCTAACCCAACAGATCATTGGCCAAGATGAACTCAAATTCTTATTGCCGAATAAAAATCCAACCATCGCAACGTTTTACTGTCTACCAAAAATACATAAGGGTATTCGACCCCCTCCTGGTAGACCCAACGTATCTGGCAATAACTGCCTTACAGAGTCTCTGAGCAAGTTTATTGAAAAAATTCTGCACCCCATTGCACTCAAATTATCATCTTATCTTCAGGATACCAAGTCCACTCTTTTGACATTGCAGGATATGACAGTTCCACCGTATACACAACTAGCTAGTCTTGATGTGGTATCCCTGTACACGAATATACCCCACCACATGGGTTTAAGGGCATGCAGATCTTTTCTGGATAATACATCATACAATGACTTACAAAAATACTTCATTCTAGCCTCCCTTGAGTTCGTTCTAACACATAACTACTTTATTTTCAATGGCTGTTATTATCTCCAGATTTCCGGCACTGCGATGGGGACGGCCTGTGCACGCACCTATGCCAACCTGTTTTTGGGGTGGTGGGAGCAACATGTCATCACAACTTCTAAGTTTAGCCACTTTCATGAGTACATCTTGAGCTGGCACAGATATATCGACGATATGTTGCTCCTATGGACAGGATCCATCCCCATGTTCGAAGACTTTGTCAAAATGTTTAATGACAATGACATCAATTTAAAGCTGACACATGTAATTGACGATCATGAACTGGTGTTTTTGGATCTTAAGATCCTGCTGGAACAGGATGGTACTATTCAGACTGAACTGTTTAGAAAGTCAACCTCCACCAATAGCCTAATACACTGGACGAGACATCACCCTTACCGACTAAAGACTTCCATCCCCTACAGTCAATATCTTAGGGCAAGACGTAACTGTTCACAGCATCAGACTTTCTACAACAAATGCAAAATATTAAAATCTCATTTTAAAAAACTGGGATATCTGAATCGTGTCCTCAAACAGGCCTTCCATCGGGTATGTGATATTGGTACACACTCCAGTCTTCATTTCACCAAACCGGAATCACAGTCTAAGGCCCCACGATGCATCACTACTTTTGATCAAGATTGGGGACCCATGGCCAAAATCCTTAAGAGGAATTGGCCAATACTTTTACATAACTCGGTGCTTCAAAATATTCTACCAGATCATCCACCTTTAACAGCACGTAGACCAACTAACCTTCAAGATCAATTAGTCCATAGCCATCTGTCATCTCCCTCACCACCAACTAACTGGCTATTAGGCCTGAAGGGAACCTATAAATGTGGTCACTGTAAGGCCTGCCAATACATCTTGCCCTCCAAGTCAGCCACTTCTACTCAAACGCATATAAGCATCGATACTAACGCTCTTGTAAACTGCAGTACCACACGAGTGATCTATTTGATCACATGCAGTTGTGGAGTTCAATATATCGGTAAAACCTTCCAGCAATTTAGGCGTAGGATTCTGCAACATATTAACTTTATCAGCAATACTGTCACTCCTACCCCTGTAGCGAGACACATTCTCAATTTCCATAATGGCAAATCCGACAATCTGCGATTTCAGATCATTGAGAAACTGCTACCTAATCCAAGAAAGGGTGAATTTAATAAAACCTTATTACAGAAAGAATCCCAATGGATTTTTGCATTTAAGACCCTAGCCCCTCGAGGCTTGAATGAAGAATTTAATTATACTCCATTCATACATCGCTAAACTGGTAGAAAAAAACTTAACCAAATTACACAATTTTCGTATGATAATTATCACGAAAATGAGGTGATAATATTCCCTTTACCACAACTATTGGCACTAAAATTGAGTTATAATATGTATACACAAACATCTACTGTGTTATTACCGTTCATGACACCGATAATGGTGATTTGTCTTTAGATCAAAAAACTTTTTTAATGTGTAACATAGAGACTGCTATTCTAATCTGCAGCCTTTAATTTACTCGAAATGACTCACTGTCAGACTGATCCTTCATTATATTTGCGAGACTAGAAGCATATAGCTACTAATTGTGTTATCCCAGATGGTTTAACATGCTTTTATGTCTGATCGGTTCGTGAGTTTCCGACTATACAAGGAACTCTGCGCTTATTAAATTCTTTTGAGTCTACCCAGCTACCATACTTACACACACACCCCTTGAACTAAAAATGGACCAATCACGCCAAGGGGCGGGATATTTAATCTAGCCATTTGGGGGAGTCAGTTCCACCCTGATGAGACTTTAAACCAGGCGAAAGGCGGGTGGGGCTTGACACTTTCCCGATATCCACGTTTGCATCTTCTTTTCTACGGTACCCTCGCTGCGGTCTAGACCTCACAGCCTGCTAAAATTCAGTGACCATATAGGGTATCCCTAGAACTTGGCTGATTGATAGCCACTTCAAGTTATTGGGAAGTAATATGCCAACCAGGGCACTACCTCAGCATAGCTAATTGGAATAACACTTCATTAGCACTAACTCTTTAGCTCTACACTCTGCTAAAAGTCTCTTTTATTCACCTATTACTTTACTGTTAAAGGTGTCCATGAAGGCACCGTTCTTATTACCTGACTTTTCTATATCTACCGGCACCTTCCACTCAGTAACTTAGTTACTCTACAGGTTCCTGATTACAGTAGAATCTGCCATATACTAAGTGGCAGAACGGATTAAGTTAGATATATTTTTGGTTATGAGTGCTTCATTTTTGATTTAATTTTATAACTCTCAAAACCATTAGGCAGAACAGTATTGTATCGCCTATCTGATGAACAAGCTATCCATCTTGTCTACTAGTTCTCGCATTTCTAACCAACTTTACAGTTTCAGCATGTTTATGCAGAACTAGACATTACTCATATTTAGACATTGTAAATTATGACACCTCCTATTAAATTAGCTACTTGTGTTCCCATTAGGACACTTTGTAGCTTCTAACGTATAGGCTATTATGGTATCTCAACCGTTCCGTGTTAGGCAGTTGATCGTGAGCAAAACGTTACTAAGTATTACATCGCTCATTGGACCTATATAGCTATATATTCCTGCAACAAGTTTAGGAAGCCGATTTTTACCCATACGTTGCCAATTTGGGCACCTTTTTATAAGTTAGTTAGCCATACAAATGCCTATTAGGACACCTTGTAGCCTTAAGCATATAGGCTTCCACTGTATCCGAATCGGTACAATATTAGGTAGCTGTACATGTGTCAGACATCATTAAGCAAGATAAGCCGTCTGCACATCTAACAGAACCCTATACAGGTAGTAGTACTTTATTCAATTGTCAGTTCCAACGCCAATCACGGCTTCTGATTTTTTGCCTGTCTTTCCAATTAGCTTTGTCCACCGGTTAGTCCACATCACAATACTCGAGATTGCCGCTAATAGCACTGCTCCAGATCGTTTGTGTGAACTTAAGTGACTCACTTTTTTTGTGTCATCCTCCACTCCCCTTATCCCTTATACGTATGCCCCTTGCATAAACTACCGTTATTGCTTCTGTCTAAGTCAGACAATTAGAGAAAGGGGCTGTGTGTCTATAGTTCACCGTTTTTGGTATATACAATAAAGTATCTTCGTGATTTTTAACCAGACTTCTAATTACAGGGACCGATTCCTTTTTTACTTTTGTTCGTTTACTCCTCTAGGGTTACCCCCTTCTCTGTTCCCTTTATCCGTGGATAACCTCCTTGTCCAACTTCTCTCTATTCAGTCTGGTAAGAGCTCTCATGCAGGGGACTTTTTTCCAGTCCTGTCCTCTCCCTATGGAGAGAAGACAGACCTGATCAGTGTGTTTCTGTAATTGGGTTTTCACCCTTCTGGTACTGGAGGGTGGGTGTCTGTATGTGTGTGTGGCTGAGAGTGGTGTTAGTGCCTGAGATGTCATCATTGAAAGGATTAATCGACTTCTCTTTAACGCCCTCAGTTCTAAAATCTCCGATCACCACATCAATTGACGGGAGTTCTTGTTTAGCAACTAACGACAGACACAAAAGAGTGCTCTAACAAGTTCTCAAATGAGTGTGTTTTCAGGGCTAGCATTTATACACAGTTTCTCACGCAAGCAGCGAGATTTATCGCTTCCTTATAGTTAATAGTACATACTTCTGTGGCAGTAGAAGATAAGCATTTGAATAAAGACAGAACAGGAACATCCTGATGTCGAGCAAGGTCGCACATCCTCTAGAAAAAAGACCTTTGTACAAAATACATCTGCCAAAGTCAGCAAAATTATTTCAAACATTATTTTAAAGCATATAAAGCAAAACGAGTTTAACTATTTCATATCCTTACAATCAGCACTAATGATTATAAACCTTATCTAAGCAGAAACGTTAAGTACTTCATATCATTTCATTCCCCTCTTTGAGCAAAAACTTGCTCATATTATCGGTTAACATTCTCCCAGGACAGAGAAATTTCCACATTATGACATTCCTAAGCAATCATGTGGTCTACAAGAAACAGAAACTCAGCAGGAAAAAAGACAATTAATACTTTTGCAGTCAGATATATAGAAAATGAATGTTTAAGACAAAATGGAACCTGAGCTTATAGCAAATATATTATTGCAAATAGCTGACATGTTAACCAATTTTAAACAGACTAACCAGCCGGTCATCTGTATCATAAGCCCTGGGTAAATATGGGCAAAGTGTATTATTCCCAACAGTTGTTTCCTCCTTCGTCCACGGAAGTGGGCGCATATAGTCAAAGTGGGAATAATACCTATCCCCCGTCCAAGGACCAGGGTCTAGGATTACCAGTCCACCCGATGATCTGGGGCCAGGCAAAAAACCCAGTGGCAAAAACTCATATTTGAGGAAAAAGCACATCTGGGGGAAACTTGAGTGGGGGCCGCGATCGTGTTAGACATGTCATACTCTCACAGTTGACACCACTTGTGACTTATAATACCCGCACCTGTGAGTACATAGCTTGGGTATCGGGAGGAATTGGGAAACACTTCTTACATATTAATTGATGAGATAAATTATAATCTAGCTTGAAATTCTGACAATAATCACAACCAGGACCTTGCGTCCTATATCTTTTAACCATTTTAACCATTTCCCTATTCCCTCAAAACATGGGATCCATCCTTGGCACACCCAACATACATCAAAAACACACATAGTACATCCATCCGTGGGTCAGCCAACACTTCCTCTCTCTCCGGCTAACTCTACAAAAATAAAAATAGTATGTTACCGCAACCCCAGGCATAAAAGGGTTAAGCCACCGTTTAGAAGATCTTCCCCTTCCAGAGATACAGGCACAGCTACTGCAGAACACCAAACTCCCGAACCGCATATAAGGGAATGCTCTAAACTCCCGAACTGCATACAAAATAGCACTCCAAACTCCCGAACTGGAACCTCACGAATAGCTGCTAGCAGACGAATAGGAAAAGCACCCAAGCGGCTTCAGGGCCGGTGCAAGGATTTTTGCTGCCCTAGGTAAAAGTAAAGTTTGCCGCCCCCCCCCATGTGACATCACAATGCTCCACCCATATGATCTGCCATGTTAACTAACGCCAGTGCTGCAGTGCTGCCGTGTTTACATTATAAGGCATGCAGGGACAGGCTATAGACACCAGAACAACTACATTAAGCTGCAGTGGTTCTGGGGACTATAGTGTTTCTTTAATGTGAGGTAAATTAGAGATTAGTGCCACGAATAATATACTAGATTGCCTACTTACAACCAGATGAGGATGATGATTGGCTCTAGCTGCAGTCTGGCTCCACTGGTCTGGTGTAGAACAGGCTCTCTGGAGGCTGTTTGTAACTGTGGTCACAAAAATCAATGTTCTGGGAGAACGGGAAGCAGCTCCATTTTTTGGGGGCCCTTTACACAGCTCAAGGTCTGGGTCCCAGGGTCCACCTTCATGTTCCACCAATGAGTTTGTTCACAGGGGGTGGAGTGTGTAGGGGATGTCCTGATATGTGTGTAAGGAATGCATTGTGTGAATCTGTGTTTGTATGTGTAAGGGCTGCAAGGTGTGTTTCTGTGTATGTACAGGATGCAGTGTGTGCGTGTGTAAGGGGTGCATTGAGTGTGTGTAAGGGGTGCATTGTGTGTTTCTGTGTTCTCCCTCCCATCCCTCCCATTTCCTCCCTGACAACTTCTTCCTTCCCTCCCATTCTCCCTCCCACTCTCCACTGACAATTTATTCTTCCCCCCCCTCCCTCCCTACATCAGTTGTAGCGTGGCCAAGCCCTGCAGCATGATGGTCCGCCGGGTACAGGTAGCTTTTGTTTCCTGTACCCGGCCGGACTAACAGGAAGTGCACACTCGGTGTGCACTTCCTGTTAGTCCGGCCGGGTACAGGAGACAGATGCTCTCTGTACCCGTCGGACCATGATACTGCAGGGCTCGGCCACGCTACAGAGAGGGAGTGACAGGAGGGAGCACTGAGCGCTTCCCTCTCCTCAGGCAGCGCCCGGGCGGTGCGGTCCGCCCTCATGGACGCACCGCCCGGGCAAAGCTGCAGCCGCCTGAGTCTCTCTGCAGAGCGCTCGGGCTGCTGCAGCATGGGGGGGGCGGCACTCCTGTCAGCGCCCCCTCCCAAGGGGTGCCCTTGGCGGCTGCCTAGTCCACCTAACAGGTAGCGCCGGCCCTGAGCGGCTTACACTCCTAGCAATCAGTCAATCAGCATACAGTAAATCCCCCCCAAGAACGAGACAAGGCTCTGTGTTGAGGGTCAAGCAGTGGTCTGGTTTAATGAGGGCTACCTGCCCAGGATTTATGCAGGTCTCCCACCTGGTGGACACTCCCCTAGGGGACCAGATGGAAGACTGTGACAAGGACATTGTAGCAACCAATCACAGGGTACACACTTAGCCATTACCCTTTTCTTACCCAGAACCCTCTGCTCTGCTCAGAGAGATAATTGTGAAGTAATTAAATTATCTCCCAGGACAGAGCCTAAACGCCATGTGAGAAGGAGGGGGTGATGGTGAGGGTGGTGAGGGGGTGATGCTGAGGGTGGTGGGGGATGAGGGTGGGGGTGGTGATGCTGAGGGTGGTGAGGGAAAGGGTAGGGGTGGTGATCTGGGGTGGTGGGGAGGCTATGAGTGGGGGCTGGTGATGCTGCTGAGGGTGGTGGGGGAAGCTGGTGGTTGGGGTGGTGATGCTGAGGGTGTTTGGGGGTAGTGATGCTGAGGGTGGTGGGGGGTGAGTGAGGCTGAGGGTGTGGGGTGAGTGAGGCTGAGGGTGTGGGTGGTAGTGAGGCTGAGGTTGTGGGGGGTAGTGAGGCTGAGGGTGTGGGGGTGGTAGTGAGACTGAGGGTGGTTCAGGGATGGTGATGCTGGGGGTGGGTGGGGGTGATGCTGAGGGTGGTGGGGGTGAGGTGGGGGTGGGTGATGTGCGAGGGTGGTGGGATGAGGCTGAGGGTGGTGGTGGGAGGCTGAGGGTGGTGGGGGGTAGTGATGCTGAGGCTGTGGGGGTTGTGGGCTGAGGGTGGTGTGGGGGGTGGTGATGCTGAGGGTGGTGTGGGGTATTGAGCAGTTGGGTGGGGAGGCTAGGGATGGGTGGGGGGTAGTGAGGCTGGGTGTGTGGGGGCTGGGGGTGTGGGGATAGTGAGGGTGAGGGTGTGGTGATGCTGAGGGTGGTGTGGGGGTATTGAGGCTGAAGGTGTGGGGGCAGTGAGGCTGAGGGGGTGTGGGGGTAGTGAGGCTGAGGGTGGTGTGGGGGTGGTGATGCTGAGGGTTTGGGGAGTCAGTGGGGCTGAGGGGTGTGGGGGTGGTGAGGGTGGTGTGGGGGGTGGTGATGCTGAGGGTGGTGGTAGTGAGGCTGAGGGGGGGTGGTGGGTAGTGAGGCTGAGGGTGGTGTGGGGGTAGTGAGGCTGGGGGTGGTGAGGCTGAGGGTGGTGTGGGGGTAGTGAGGCTGGGGGTGGTGTGGGGGTAGTGAGGCTGAGGGTGTGGGGGGTAGTGAGGTCAGAGAGATCAGATGAGTCCTTCAGGACTGTAGTGGACACTGAATACACTAGCCTAGCTATCAATTTTCCTATCAAATCAGCAGCAGATACACTGTCCCTCCTCTCACTAAGAATGCAGCTTCACAATGAATGTAAAATGGATGCTGTCCAGGAGGTGGGAGGGTCTGGGAGGGAGGGTCTGCTGCTGATTGGCTGGAATGTGACTGCTGACTGTGAGGTACAGGGTCAAAGATTACTCAATGATGATGAATAGGGGGCGGACCGAACAGCGCATATGTTCGCCATCCGCAGCGAACGCGAACAAGCGATGTTCGCCAGGAACTATTCGCCAGCGAACCGTTCGGGACATCACTACTTATCATCCAATGTAATATTACACGTCATCTCACAAAACAGATGTAATAGAAACACATAATGGATACCCAGCAGCAGGGCTGCCATCAGAAATTTTGGGGCCCCTGACACAGCTCAAGGTCTGGGCCCCCCGGTTTCCTTCTTCTCCCCCCTCTCCAATTTCCTTCTTCCCCCCCTCTCCAATGACCTTCTCCACCTCCCTCTCCAATTTCCTTCTTCTCCCCCTCCCTCTCCAATTTCCTTCTTCTCCCCACCCTCTCCAATTTCCTTCTTCTCCCCACCCTCTCCAATTTCCTTCTTCTCCCCACCCTCTCCAATTTCCTTCTTCTCCCCCCCTCCAATTTCCTTCTTCTCCCCCTCAATTTCCTTCTCCCCTCAATTTCTTCTTCTCCCCTCCCTCTCCAATTTCCTTCTTCTCCCCTTCAATTTCCTAACACACACACACTCACACACAAACACTATAACACACACACACTTTTTTTTAAAAAAAAATGTCATCCTCCCAGCCTCCCTACCTGTGGGAGTGCTGAGGGGATTCCCTGGGGTCCAGTGGTGTCACCCAGCGGCCGGTCCTGCGGGCAGGCGGGCGCACGAGGAAGCACCCCTCCCTGGCTGAGTGCTTCCTGTTCAGCTCTCTCGCGCACCGCGTACTGATGCCGAGCCTGAAGATGACGTCATCTTCCGGCTCTGGCATCAGTGAGGTGCGCGAGGGAGCTGAAGAGGAAGCACTCAGGGGAGAGTGCTCCCTTGCGCGCCCGCCAGCCCGCCCGCCGGGTGACACCAGGGCCAGCCTCGGGGGGCCCTGAGGTGACCAGCTGCTGGGCCCCCCAGGAGAAGAGGCTGGCCAATGTGGGTACATACCGGGTCGCAGGGCTCGCTGCGACCCCGGTATGTACACCACTGAATGTGGGGCCCGGGACGACCTGAGCAGTCCGGGCCCCCCAGGACCGTCGGGCCCATGACAACCGTTATGGTTGTCATGCCCTGATGGCGGCCCTGCCCAGCAGATATGCCAATACAGAAAACACATTAATGGGCACACAACTACACACTCTGTGTCCCTCCTAGGTAACACGGGTAGACACAATATGAAAGCAATCTTAAACTAACCTCCAAATCTCCATTCCCATATAGCTATATCAGACCACAACACAGAGCCTCTCTGAGCTGATAGAACTACTCCAACTCCTCTTGGCCAAAACACTAGTATTCAACAGCTAATAAAACAGTTATTTGCTAGGTTATTTGACTGGCATTTTTATCAGTACTACTAGACTGAGACAAACTGATTCAAATATAATTTAAAACAACACAGCAACATATAAATTAAACCACTTTCCAGTTAAGCTGCACACTTCACACATTATCACAATCCCCATTTACACAGAATAAACTGTTAACAGCTGCACTCAGAACATATTATTGTAAGGTATACCAATTTTAGTTTGTATTAGATTATTTTAGGGATTCTTATGTATACATGTTTTTTTTTTCTTAATTAACTTCATTACTTTAATCTACTATAGTATTGTATATAAAGAAAGGATCCATTTATATAGCGCACTCATAACTCAAATATTTGTATGAAACTTCCATTAAAGGAACACTATAGTCACCTAAGTTACTCTAGCTAAATAAAGCAGTTGTAGTGTATAGATCATTCCCCTGCAATTTCACTGCTCAATTCACTGTCATTTCGGAGTTAAATCTCTTTGTTTCTGTTTATGCAGCCCTAGCCACACCTCCCCTGGCTATGATTGACAGAGCCTGCATGAAAAAAAAAACTGGTTTCACTTTCAAACAGATGTAATTTACCTTAAAGGGACACTATAGTCACCTGAACAACTTTAGCTTAATGAAGCAGTTTGGTGTGTAGAACATGCCCCTGCAGCCTCACTGCTCAATCCTCTGCCATTTAGGAGTTTATGAACCTAGTCACAACTCCCTGCATGTGACTTGCACAGCCTTCCATAAACACTTCCTGTAAAGAGAGCCCTATTTAGGCTTTCTTTATTGCAAGTTCTGTTTAATTAAGATTTTCTTATCCCCTGCTATGTTAATAGCTTGCTAGACCCTGCAAGAGCCTCCTGTATATGATTAAAGTTTAATTTAGAGATTGAGATACAATTATTTAAGGTAAATTACATCTGAAACTCCGCCTCAAAAGAACAAAGACACCAGCTGGAGAAAATTCCAACAAGTAGATGTTTTGTGTTTGCCATAATAATGCCTGACCACCTGCCACTGATGGAAAGCCAAAGCCCCCAATGGAGGTCTCGTGAAGCCGAACATAATCAGAAGTACTCCTTACCCTGCAGCCCGAACATCCGGAATCTCAGGTGCCGACGCACAGTCGAAGCTTCTTCAAGATCATCTGCTCATCTTGATTGTATGGTGATATTAATATTGAATAAATGACCTGAGGTGGCATGGGAAAGAACTTTTACGTTAAACAATAAGTAAATGTGCCCAAAGAATAGGGATTGCATAGATGGTGGGTATAACTACTGCTCCTACTGGAGTTGTGTGGCTTGGGCGCCCTCACTTCATGCGTTGTGACGTCATTAAAACAAACTTTATTATTCTAAAACACAACAAATAATAAGAGGCAGTTCTATATATGTAATAGTTTACAATTGATATAATTATGCCTATTCTTAGGTCTTAATTGAAGCAGTGCATAGGGGATTATTTGGAATAAATACTATAGATAATAAACTCAATATAAATAGAGAATTATTATATCTGTCAATGAACTAGTACAAAATCAGAAATATTTAATCCAAAGACATAGCAATGTAACTGGCAATTGTTAGTGTTAAAACATCTCTTTCAGCAATGAGTATATAGCCTATTTCATATCTAGAAGGTAAAGTACCACAGTTAATCTAATAAAAAAAGGATATGGGATTCATCAGTTGAAGAATTGGAACCTGAACAAATATCTTGGACAAAGGCCTTACGGTATGGCTGGCAATATCATCAGGACATACGTATCATTACCAAGCTTCTAGCATATTTCGTATCTCAATTGAATTATACCTGGTTGCTCACATGCAAGGGGGGACAAAAAATAAAAAAATATTAAAATATGAAAAAATGTAAAAATTAAAAATAAAACAATTTGAAAAAAGTTTTGAAAAAATTGTTTTATGAAAATTTTTTTAAAATTAGACCAATCTTGGTCTAAAGGGAACACTGTAAGGAGCACAAGGTAAACATGAGTTTAAAGCATTCACATATGATTAAGGGTATAAACCACAGCCTATGAGGAAACATTTAAGTAAAAAAGAGACCTGCGCTCTCTCCTTAATCCCTATGTATATTTAAACAAATGGAGGTCATTTAGTTACTCCAATGGCCACTGGAGGGAATGCCTGAGACAGAAAGGGGTATTTTTTATATACACCCCTATATACTTGTTAACCCTTAATAGGGAACACATGGGATATGCAGCAGCATTGTAACCTAGCTGTGTGATACAAAAAGTGAATACAAATACAAAATGAAAAGTCCTGCGCTCACTCCCATCACTCCTGGGCAGCAAATGACTAAACGACCTGTAATGTAGTCATTCCTGCCGCCCAGGAGTGATGGGAGTGAGCGCAGGACTTTTCTTTTTGTATGAGGAAAAATTGTAGGAAGTGTTTCAGATCGTAATGCTCAGTAAGCCCTGATGGTAACAGAGTCTCCAAGATACTAATCCATTTAGTCTCTCTCTGTAGCAAGAGTTTCTTTTTGTCTCCCCCTCTCCGCTGGGGTGGGACTCTGTCAATCACCTGGAACCTCAACTGATTGACCCTATGACCATGGGACCTAAAATGTCTAGGTACTGGGGCTTCACATATTCCTTGCTGTAAGGCAGCCCTGATACTCCGTTTGTGTTCCCCTATACGCTCTTTAACAGGTCTGATGGTCTCCCCCACATACACATATCCACATGGACACTTTAAGATATACACGACAAAGTCAGAGTTGCCTGTGTAAAAACCATTAACCATATATTTTTTACCAGGGCGGAGATGAACAAAAAATTCTCCATTGATCACACTGCTGCAATGTGAACAACCTAGGCAAGGGAAAGTACCTTTCTTTGGTTCGGAAAAAAACCCTGTTTGTCTCTTACAACTACCAATGTCTGATTTTACTAAAAAGTCCTTAAGATTTGGTACTCTTTGATATGAGAATAATTGTGGGTTCTGGAATTCAATTGGCAGATATATATCCCCCTCAAAAATCTGTCAGTGCTTCATGATTCTTCGAATCTCCCTATTAAGGCATTTCTATTGGGTTTATTATCCTTCCTAAAACTCTGGACTCTTTCTCTCTCTGGGTTTGAATTATATGTGAGGGATAACCCCTCTCCATAAATTTCTGAGACATAAAATCCAGTCCTGCGCATACTCTCTCTTCTTGCGATACTATACTTTTAACTCACAACAACTGACTATATGGTATGCCGTTCTTTAAGTGTATGGGATGGTAACTATCGTAGGTGAGTAAATTATTTCTGTCTGTAGGCTTTGTGTATAAATCATTTACATCACATTTTTCATATTTTTTTTATTTTTTGTTCCCCTTGGTCCCCTGCTGCATGTGAGCAACCTGGTATAATTGCCATGTCTTTGGATGAAATATTTCTGAATTTGTACTAGTTCCTTGACAGATATAATAATTCTCTATTTATATTGAGTTTATTATCTATAGAATTGATTCCAAATAATTCCCTTTTGCACTGCTTCAATTAAGAACTAAGAATAGGCATAATGATACCAATTGTAAACTATTACATTAATAGAACTGTCTCTTATTACTTGTTGTGTTTTAGAGTAATAAAGTTTGTTTTAATGACATCACAACGCATGAAGTGAGGGCGCACGATGGGGCATTACCACGTCATCATATGGGCAGGTTTGGGGGCAGGCCAAAAAAGGTAAGCATTATACCTTTTTAACATATGACAAGAGGGGTTGGCCACCTAAGTGGCAGTTTCCAAACTATAGTGTCAGAAATACACTGACACTATAGTACTCCTTTATGATTATCAAAAATGTACAGTACAATTTAATCTAATTGCTGGAGAGGTTGCACTCCTAGAGCACACTATATTCATATATGGTGGTCATGTCATGTAATAAATAAATTATGGGCAAAAGTGGCTAGACAGATTGAAGTCCTAATAGGAATTAAATTAACTTTCTCCCTAGAGAGTCTAATTGTTACATTTAGAATGGCCGTAAATGGGGGGAAATGAAAAATATTTGGTTATTCATTTTTTGGTTTCAACAAGTCTAGCCATTGCTAAATTATGTAAAACTCCAAACATACCTACTTGGCAGACAATAAAGAATTAAGTAATCAACCAATGTAAAATGTAGAGTGATATTCTAAGACAAAATGATTAAAGTAATAGCAGAATTAAATTTTGGGACATCTGGGCCAATAAATGAAAGACATTATAATTTAAGTTTCTGGAAATTTATCCTCTGTGCGTAATAGTGATTGTTATAATTTTGTTGTGATTTGGGTTTTTTTCTCTTCTGTTTATTTTACTTTAAACAGTATATATAATATGTTAGTATATATGTATTTATGTTTTAAAATGTGTAATGATATCATATCTACTCTAGTCTCTAGCTTGGTCTCACGTTCTGGTACCGAAAACCATTACCACCACTATGCCACACTTTCTCTCCTTTCCCATTGATGTACCCTTTTTGGGGTAAACCTATCTCTGTTTTCTTCTTTCTCATTCTATTTTCCATTCCTCTATGCATATATCTCCCATAATTCACACTCTCCCCATATTTACCATTATCTCATCTTTCTCCCATGCAGACTCATGCCTCATTTCTACTGATCTCTCCTTCTCATGTTCAGTGTTCCTTTCCCCATTTTCTACCCCTGTTTTTTATTGTTATCCCCAACTTTTCATGTTTTTTCATTGAAGTTCCCATCTCTTATGTTCCTTGCTCCATATTCTCTCAACTGATTGATTTTTCCCTTGCTCTTACATTGTTTTTCTATTCTTTTTCATGTCCTTTCATTGTTGTGCCCCGAGAGGCTGAGAAAATAACCAATGGCCCACATTTAGGGAAATAATTTTAATTAGAATAGCATACAGATAAAAGCCTTTTGTCTGATGCAGATGAGTAGGAAAGAATGTGTCAGCTGTAATCCAGATACAGAGTTATCAAACTCTAGATCACATTTCTGATCCAGATGTCATCTGTAAAGGAAAAGCACCAGACATGTTATCAGCGTAGTGAGTTTATTGTTTCTTTGCTGGACTTCTGTTCTACTACATTTATTGGAAAGCTGACCTTTGGAATTGTGATTGTAAATAAAGAATAGGCTTATTCCAAGTTAATATCATATAGATATATACTTTAAAATAATATTTTACCCTGCACATATTTATAGTTTGACCAAAAGCATACAATATGCACAGAACTTTATAAGAATGAAGTGAAGGAGGAAATACAGACACATGTCAAGACATGCAAATTAATGTATTAAGGAGAAATCGTAACAACATGCAATCTATTACTGTGTCAAATAAATCAATCTCTTTTTCAGCAGCTACAGTACGCACTTTGTAATCTTTTCTACACTGCTCTGTCATCAAACGACCACTCGATGGTGGTGACATTGAGAAGAAACATTTCAAATTTGTACTTTGTAGTCCTTTATCTACAACATTTTAATTTTATCTCCAGTGACACATATTTCTGTATACTTATTCTTAGCAGTAACAGGTGATATCAATGCAAAGTTGACAGCTCTACTTTTAATAAGTGAGAAAGACCCCAGCTGGTGCTCCTGTAATGTTTGCAGTTGATGTTATGATGTAACATCTGCATTTACTCTATACAAATGTGCGTCTTAATACTATAACATCCTCTGACAAGGGTGGGCTGGGCCAGGGTGCAATTGCCCTCAGGCTGCACAATACTCTTGCCATTCCGGCTGTGATGTCACCGGCCGGTAATCCAGCATTAGGAATATACTGGCAGAGTGGTCTGTATACCAGCTAGCCATCTCTGTAGGAATGGGGAGGCAGTGTGGTGCCTGTACACTGTGTATGTGTGCAGACATCCTATCTGTCTGTTTTTCACTCTCCCTGTATGTCTCAGGAAGTCAGAGGTCATGGGATACTTACTTTCTATATCTTGAAACAATTTGGCATTGCGTACTGTAAACCAGTAGTGCAATTTCATTACAGCGATTTTAGATAGATGCACAGCTCTCTGGTTTTTATAACATGGAAAATGGCGCTAAAATATTGCACATTCAAATATCTTGATCTTTTGTGTAGTGCAGATGATTTAAAGGAACACTATAGTCATCTAAACAACTTTAGCTTAATGAAGCTGTTTTAGTGTATAGATCATGCCTTTCAGGTTTTACTGTTCAATTCACTACCATTTAGGAGTTAAATCACTTTGTTTCTGTTTATGCAGCTCTTGCCACACCTCCCCTGGCTATGATTGACACAGCCTGCCTGAAAAAAAACTGGTTTCACTTTCAATATGATGTAATTTATCTTAAACAGTTTTATCTCTTGCTCTGTAAATTGAACTTTAATCACCTACAGGAGGCTCTTGCAGGGTCTAGCAAGCTATTAACATAGCAGGGGATAAGAAAATCTAAATGAAACAGAACTTGCAATAAATAAAGGATAAACTTTAGATGACTCTTTACAGGAAGTTTTTAGGAAGGCCATGCAAGTCACATGCAGGGAGGTGTGACTAGGGTTCATAAACAAAGTGATTTAACTCCTAAAAGGCAGATAATTGAGCAGTGAGGCTGCAGGGACATGTTCTATACACCAAAAATGGCTTTATTAAGCTAAAGTTGTTTTGGTGATTATAGTGTCCCTTTAAGTGATGACTTTTTCCGCTGTTGGTATTATTTACTACAAGGGCACCTAGCAGATGACTTATTTGACTGCCCTTGTTGGTAAAATTACTTTTTGCATTTAGGTCACAGTTTTTTTCATTTATATACCTTCTCATAATTTCCTGAGTTGTCTAGCTGCAGAAGTATATTTTAATTTCTCTAAGTGAGGTAGTAGCTACTGATATCGGATGGGTTTAGGATATATCTTTTACTATATAATTGACGCTAAATCAGTTCCCTTTTAAGCTGGTACCACTGTTTTATGTACTTATTTGTATAAATATTCTTTTTTTTTTTTTATTCTTTATTTTTGTTGTGCGTAGGCTTATAACATTCGCTTGTGAGGTACCCCAAAGGCAATCCTCCAGCGCATTAAAAGAGTGGAACATAGAGGTACATGGTAGAACAAGCACATTTTTGGGCTATAAACAGTATGTGTAATGGCACCCCCAGACATACAAGGGTTAAACCGCCGTTTAGTAGATCTTCCCTTCCAGAGACACAGGCACAGCTACTGCAGAACACCAATCCGCCGAACAGGAAACCATATGAATGCCGTAAACAGCCGAATAGGAAAAACCATACAAATAGGTTTACACTCCTAGCAGTCAAACTGGAACAGCATTCAATAAATCCCCCCAAGAACGAGACAAAGCTCCGTGTTGAGGGTCAAGCAGTGAACAGTCAGAGCTGTGGGTTTATTGTGCTTATGTACACATTCTTACACATTAGTACCACCCACAGGGTTTTGGAACACAACCAATAAACACATACAATACACTCAGACACTCAGACACTTCTATCCTGGAGATAATTGGGAAGTAATCCAATTATCTCCAAAGACAGAGGCAAAACTCCACTGAACACATGGCAGCAAAAGACAATAAAACACATAAAAACATATAACTGTGCAGCCATTGCACAAAACAGGTACATTCAACATATCCCCAGATAGCTCAGATCTAAGCGCACATTATTACTGAATGGCGCTCAGAGCACCCACATACAGTTCAATTGCCATGGAGCCAAAGTCTTTCCCATAGTCTTTCATTATACGAATGGGCTCCATGGCATAGCTATCTGGGGTATCACCGTTTAAACAGGGCAAGCACCAAATGACCCGGCTTTCATGTCTTTGCAGGGGAAAATCAAGCCTTTTAACATGGGGCCATAATCCAAAGGCAACAGGCGAGCAACCAGGCTTCTCCAATGCAATGTGGCGAGATTGGTCTCATCACAGTATGATTTTACGTTGCTTAGGTATTGTCATGATACGAAATAAAATTGTTAATAAAAGGTTAACCATCAGATTTGACAACTTGTTAAAGTTTGAACAGGCTTAGACACTTCGGGAATAAGTTTAAAGTTAAACTGGCTTAAATTTGTGTTTCGTTGGGTTCGTTATAATAAACAATGCCAATGCGTATAATGTCGCTTAACAAGAAAATATTTAGGCTGGCTAAGACATTCTATATGGCCTGACATTAACTTAGTCGATTATAATGATACAAAATAAAGTAACATGCTAAACTGTGATTAATAGTTTGGCAGGGTAGCCGCTGGGCCTTATGTTCGGTGTGGGCGCATAACAGGCTAACAGGGTATAAACTAATGGTTGCACTGTTATGCCCATCTCAGCCGGGATACATCTGCAGCAGCAGGGAGGGTGTCAGTTAAATATGCTGGTATGCCCTCAGAGGTGCACCGCCCGGGGAAGGAGCTTGCATGGTCCCTATGTTATACTACATGTTAGGCAAATTGTGAGTTTAACGTTCATATCTATGAGCAGACTTATCTAGTTCACCGATTATAGAGCATGTTAGGCAGATTAACAGTGGTTGAGGTTCATGAGAGTTCGTTTGGGGCATAGGAGGCTGAGTGACAGTGGTTACTATGCCTGGTAATAAGTCCAAGGTCAGCCGATGCCTTTTTGTGGCTGTGTGTGCCCCTCGTGTTGGTCGATGCAGCTGTGTGTCGCCCGTTCCGTCCGATCCTGCAACCTCTTGGGTGTATTTATTGGTAGATCTGCAGCGTTTGCTGGCTGTGGTCTGCTCCTTCATCCCCCTGGCGTTTGGTGTCTGCTTCTGTTCGGGTGGTATAACGATTACCTCGCTGCCGGCAGGTTTCAACTTTGGGGGCTCCCCGCCCGTGAAGGAAGTCATGGAACCAGGCTTGATCCATGGGTGGGTAAGCAGGGGCTTTTCAGAGGGTCCGACGCTTGTCTGTAGGTTCAGGCTCCGTGGCCCATTGTGTATGCTGCTTGTGGTCCTGTGGGCAGAGCTGCTTGCAGGTAAATGCAGATGCAATTCTCGGCTTCAGTCGCGTCCCCGCCATTTTGGTGCCCCGGCGTGGGGTGCGCATTGCCAGACGGGCTCGGAGGGTCAGAGGGGGCCTCTTGGCTTTGAGTCAGGCTTTAAGCTTGGTATTTTCTCCCAAATTAGGCCAATTCTTGCAGGAGCCTCTCCAGCCCACTACCGGTCAGCATGGCGGTCGGGCCCCGCCCCCCAAATATTCTCTCTTTTAATTGGTATGATAATAATTGCGTTGTCTTTATTTATCTGATGAATGTTATTGACATCCACTTCCACAAATGATATAGAAGCCCCAGTTTTGTTCAAACTGTTTTCAAATTGACCTGGAGTAAGGGGACAGTGCCCACAATCTAATAGCACCATAACTACTATAACAGCATTTAGTAGTTATGGTGCTTAGAGTGTTGTCCCTTTAACCATGGGCCTTATACATTTGCTGGAAGTACACTCATCAGAACAGCAGGGATAGGATTTATGGCCAAGCTTTTCAAAGTAACTGTTTCTAGTAGTTCATAATTCTGTAGTACTGGGAAAGCTTGGGGAGCAAACATCAAATAGTAATGGAACAGATAAATGATAATACAGCACACAGCTGTGGTTATGGTGCCATGAGTTTCCCGGCACCCCTAGTGTGGGAAGTCAAACCTTTCTAAAAAAAAAAAAACAGTTTACCTGGGTTCCCCATTAAAGTCTCCAGGAGAGCTAGGAGTTCTCTGTATGAACTATGCATTTCTTGTGGAGAACTAACAGAAGCTCCTAAACAGGAGTTCGTGGCTCTTCTGGCTGATGAGAGGAGGGACTTTGTTTAGCTAGATGACATAAAGGGATCATCAAAAGCCATTACTGTATATGTGTGTTTAAAAAAAGATGTAGACCGATTCTATTTTGAGAAGGCATCTGCTATCTATGTCATTTAATTTACTATAAAATTATAAAAATATTTAAATATTATGTTGACTTTAACACATTATCAGTCTATCTATATACTATATAAGGTAAGCTCTTCTGATACTGCATAATAAAATATTTAAAGACAGGAAGCAGTTGTTTTTCTATACATCATGAACCACGGTAGACAAAGTTCTTGATAACATGAATTTATAGATATGATAAAATCTCTATTAGTACAAATTCTTCTTGTAGGTATAAATATATCTTATGCCAGGAAACAGTTAGTTAAGACGACACTCCGGGCACCAATACAGCTTGGCCTCATTAATATGCTGTACTTTTTAGCATGCTCAAATCTTTTTAGTTTTTGCACACAAAAATATTTGGCAGAATGCTGCACCATAAGCCTGCCTCTTTAGCCACATCCTCTCATGCCATAAAGACTTTGTCAAATGTATGCACACCATGGACAGCTTCAAGAGCATTGAGTGAGCTCATTTTAATTCACAAGAGAAGCTATAAACAGGTATTTAGTAAATGCCTCACTGGGTGCCCCTTCCTTCTAATGCAAGTTGCTTTGTGGCTCAGATAAATAGTACTGTTAGTTGCTGAACGCTGTGCATATTCTAGATAAGGAAGTTTTTTTCTGGAATGAGGGGGTCTGATTATAAAAGCAGGTTTATGGTGCAGGATTCAAAAAACATTTATATATTTTATGCAAAAACTGTAAAGATGTGAGCATTCAAAAATAATAATAATAATGAAGCTAAAGTCTTATGCATTAACCCTTTAAGGATGGCAGACATTACTTACTTATCTTATCTTACTTTTCTTGTCCCTACCCAAGCAGTCCCCCCTTAGCAGACCCGGCTCTACCGGCCAATGTGATCGCGGGGCTCTCACAATGAAATGGCAGAAATAAACGGCTTGTGCAGTGCCTGAAAATAAGTTTAGAAAATATAATAAAAGTTTAAAAACAGTTTCTAAATGACATAAACGTACTTAGATCATATATAAATACACACACATATATTTATATATATATATATATATATATATATATATATATATATATATACATGTGGAGATCCACAAAGATGTTTAGAAAATAAGTTAAAAAACCGAAATCACATGGAGAGACACAATTATACTTAAATAGCTAGGTGCAAACCATATAAACACTACCTTAAATGTTTAAATATCCAAATATCTATATAATATAGAAGACACACTATAACAACTTCAAACAGTAAATATAATCTGAGTTTAAAAAAACTCTTAGTAACAAACAAGACCAAAATAAATAAAATAACAGAAGAAGAGGCAATACAATAATACAATGGTACAATACCAAGAAATCTTACAAGCCACGAGGCAGAAACACAAGTCACCAAACTCCCCAACGTTTTGGCACCAACTGGCTGCCTTTATCAAGGGTACCAGAAAATAAGTTAAAATCATAATCGTTTCAGTCCATTGTTCGGGACTTTTCATCAGGATTGAAGAATAATTATAATAGTAAAATCAACATATATATAAGCAGATTTAATTAATTAAAGCAAAGTGACTTATCCCCAGGTCAAGTGAATACCGGATCGGCATCCCACTGTGAGAAGTATGCCTGCGTGAATGTGCTCCACCCCCTAGTGCCGTGGCCTAGTGTTAACATGACGGTAACACACATAACATCACGCATCATCACGTCGTGTGTATATAGAGACAAATATAAACAAGTGATTGAGAACAGATCTGCGCAAACATGGCTATTATAAAAGGGTATAAGTTAATAAATACACACAATTAAAATAAAATATATTTTAATATCAATATATGTGTGTGTGTGTAATTTTGTTCTTAATATATTTTGATACATATATTATTATTATTATTATTTTATTATTTATATAGCGCCAACAAATTCCATAGCGCTGTACAATGGGTGGACTAACAGACACATAATTGAGATCAGACCACTGACGTACAGGAACAGAGGGGGTTGAGGGCCCTGCTTGATGAGCTTACATGCTAGAGGGAGTGGGGTATAGTGACACAAAGGGTTAAAGTAGGGGATATATATATATATATATATATATATATATATATCAAACGTGAATATATATAGATAGATAGATAGATATAGATATATACATGAATCTATATCTATATATTATAAAAAAAATATATATATATATATATATATACTGTATATATATTTCAATTCTACATATTTGTTTATGTAATATTTTTACATAATTAAGTATATTTATTAATTACAATTTGAGGGACCTGCCTAACAACCCGGCCATAAAGTCCACAGAATTTAATTCACAAACACTATATTTAACCCTGTAACTTTCCAAGGCACCATCAAATCTGTACATTGGGAGTACTGTTAGACTTGCTGAACACAACTCTATACTTATACAATATAGACCCTATGCACCCCAATACACACACTGCACCCCTCACAAACACATACTGCATCCCTCACACACTGCACCCCCACACGTACACTATGTCCCTACACACACACACACACTTAACCCCTACATACACACTGCAACTATCACACACACTGCACTCCTACACACACACACACTGCACCCTTCACAGTCTTTGTGTGTACTCAGCAATCTGTGCACCTCTAAAAAACAAACTCCACCACTCACTGCAGCCTGGGTGTGTGTGTTTATTTAGTAGTCTTTGTATTCAACAATCTGTGTGTGTATCTAGCAGTATGTGTATGTATGTATGTATTTGGTAGTCTATGTGTGTGTGTATTCAGCAGTTTTTGTGTATGTATTCAGCAGTCTCTCTGTGTGTATTCAGCATTGTATGTGTATGTATTCAGCAGTCTGTGTGTGTATTCAGCAGCCTGTGTGTGTGTATTCAGCCATCTCTGTGTGTATTCAGCAGTATGTGTTTATTTAGCAGTCTGTGTGTGTGTGTATTGAGGTTGTTGGAGGTACCAATACAAAATAAGCTTACTTTTATTGATAATTTACATTTTTATCCTTGTGAGTGGGTGTGTAGGGAGGGATCCAGTGCACTGCTTTGCCCAGAGACCTATAATGCTGTAAGATGACCCTGTTTGTACCTGAGTTTTGCTGTTCTAAGGCAATGACATTACAATTGCTTTACTTTTAAGAAGAAAAAATTCCCCTCCTGTAACCCATATAAATAGCCTCATGATAGTCCTCTTCCCTTACTGCTCCTGCATTAAACGCATGCTCAAAATGGCACGTTTGCCATATTGCAGTGGTAGGCAACCTTCAGAAATTCAGATGTCGTGGACTATAAACCATATTGCTGGCAAAGCATCACGAGAGATGTTGTCCACATCTGGAATGCCATAGGTTGCCTAATGCTGCCCTATTGTTTGTAGAGAAAAGAGCCTTATTCACTGCCGAAGCAATAAGGAGAGTCTATTACCATCAGGAAATATTGGCTACTTACTCTCTACACTGGTGTAGTTAGAGAAAAAAACAGTTTTAATAGAAAAATGATGAACTGCTTCCCAAAAAGTCAGGACCCTCTAAATTTAATTTTACTCGTAGAAAATTATACTTACATTTTAATTGTTCTACAATAGCATGGATAAGAACTGGATGGATGATATGTCTGCCTTCAACAGCACTCATCAGTAGTCCCTGCAGTCAGTCACAAACAGTGGGTACTAAAATGCTGTTTCTTTGCCTTCTAGGACATAATCCTATCAAAACCGGAATAGAACCCGGAAGTCGACATGTTTCCTTATTGATTGTATGAATGCTGCTACCGTGTAAGTAGGTAAAAGAGTCAAATAGGACATTTGCTGATCTATGTATGATGGGAAGGGACCGAGCTGTTTTCAGTGTTTTGCGTAATTATTCATCCCGCCTTGGACAAATCCACATTTTGCTTTGTTACAATCTAAAACTAAAATGGATTTTATATGAATGTTTTTTAAAACATTTAATTCTATTTTAACAGGGGTTACAGCAATATATTGGGATTTTTGCTATTTGGTTTACATAACACAGTTAATACTGTGAATGTGCAAAAAAATTTATATAAGCAAAAATTCTGTGCCTCTCGTGTGCGCACCTGGAAGAAGGAAACTGGAAGAAAATACCAGAGAGGAGTAAGCTGGTGCCCTTTTTCAAATAAATTTAATGGATCCAGAGAATATCTTCAGCACAGAAAGAATACTGTTTGAGAGGTCTTGCTGAGACTTTCATTAAGACTTTATATCAAGGTTTGTTTGGGCTATATTTCTCTTTTTGCACTTTCAGGACACTGCTCATCGTGGCATACCACCCTGATATATAAGTTATATTTTTAATATACTTGTTTTAAGTGTATTTTGAAATAAAAGTGTATTCTTTTATATCTGGGTCTTTGACATCTATTGGATATATTCAAAGCCTGATCTTAATTTCATCTAAGATCCTGGGACACTAAGTATAATACTATTATTTCTTTATATATTTATTTTTTTATACTCGTGATTAGAATAAATTGCTTGGATAGCCTTTGATATGTTTTAACTTTGATCATGAGAAATATATGATAAATACTGCAAAATATAATTGTCTAGTTAATTAGTTACAAGTGTTTTGGTAGAATATGGTATGTTTATTAATTTTTGTTATATTTTCTCTAACATCTTTTTTTTTTTTTTTTTTAAACTTTATCTTTTGCTGCACTTTGAATCATTGTCATTTGTGGGGGTTAACTGTTAGGATATATCTCTGCCAAAATACCTGATGCAGCTAATAATCTAAATTATAACTGTACAAAATTAAAGGGTTGGTTATGAATGCTTGCTGGTATATGTGTGCTTCCAGTAACTTTGATGATGTCTATTGTTACTAGTTTACGCCAGAACACATGGCTGGTGACCATGTTGATCCTCTTTTAAACACATGGTCGGCAGCCATCTTGCTGCTCCTGAAAGTACATGATTGGTAGCTATAGTGGTGATCCTGAAAGCACATGTTCAGTGGCCATTTTGGAACTCCATAAACACAGTGAGTATTAACACAGAAGTTTTTGTGAAGCACTTTAAATTTTACAAACTAATTCAAAGCCACAAACCACAACAGATGTCTTTTGGCATAGTCTAAGCTGGCCTTTCTATTCTTGGGTTTTATAAATGGTTTCAACCTTGTGGTGAACCCTCAGTATTTGCTCTTGTGAAGTCTTATTTCTATAGTAGGCTTGGATAATGATTTGCCTACCTCATGGAGAGTGTTCTTCACTTGACTGGATGTTTGGAAGGAGATTTTCTTTACCATGAAAAGTATCCTACAATCATTCACCACTGTTGCCCTCTGTGCACGTCCAGGCCTTTTTGTGTTGCAGAGCTCACCAGTGCATTTTTGCTCAAAATGTGCCACCAAACTCATAATTTGGCCACTCCTAATGCTCCTGTTATCTCTCTAAAAGATTTTTTTTGCAGCCTAGGGGTTATGTGTTTCACTGGCATGAAAGCTCCTTTGACCACATGTTGCGAGTTCCAGCAATAGTTTCCAAATGTGAGTGCCACACCTGGAATCAACCTCAGGCCTTTTACCTGCTTAATTGATTAAAAAATAATGAAGAAATAGTCCACACCTGTCCATGACACAGCTTTTGAGTCAATTGTCCAATTACTTTTGGTCCTTTGAAAAAGAGGGGACTACATATTAAAGAGCTGTAATTCATAAACCATTCCTTCAATTAAGGATACCCTTAAATTAAAGCTGAGAGACTGCAGTTTAAGCCCATATTCATTATTTAACTGTAACTTTTATTTATTTTGGTAAACAGCTAAAATAACAAACACAGAGAGGAGGTGCCATCCTATGCTCTGAGGAAGCCAAACTCGACAGGTGTAGCATGTCAGGGTAGTTGTCACAATAGACGTAATCAACCGGTACACAAGACTGGAACCCAAAAGTAAGTGAGCAAGCGGGAGATACAAAACGGCAGAGCAATAAAGGACTAACTAAGTGCAGGATTCTAGTTCATCCAGCATGCAGAAATGTGTCACACCTAGGACTAAGGGTAGCGTCTAACCGGACCTTAGAATGGCCGGACTTATCGCACCAAAAAATAGTCAATATACTAGCCGAGGTCAGGGACACAAAATGGGACACAGCGATAAGGGAAAGCCAATAATCAAGGATACCAGAAGTCAGGGAAGTCAAAACGAAACCACGACAATGAGGAAAAGTAAAAATGTGTTTAAATAAGCCTCCTTCAGGTCCGATTGGCCATAACTGGCCTTTGACCCCAGGACGTGCGTGCGCGTCCTTTGCGTGACGTCACATGCACGTTGACATCGTCAATACCATGAGCGGACATGGGGTTATAAAATATCATGGATCCGCAGCGGCCGGCATCCATCAACATGCCGCAGGAGTCAGATACACTGACGCAGGACTGCTGAGTGGCACCTCCGTCAATGCCAGGAAAGCAGTTACCATCACAGACACCACAAGGTGAGGATGAACATGTGACACTAAGAGGTGTATGAGCTGCAGAGCTTTATATCGAGGGTGGTGTTCTGGGTTTAAAACCAGTTTGGCAACACCTACAATGTTGTAAGTATTTTATGTGTAGCTCTATTTCCAATCCAGATGATATATTATTGAAGACTTTCCATATTGATTCAACTTTTAAATGTTTGAAGACAAGTGAAAATGAATTATTTATTTGGTTTCTCACTTTAAGGATTGAATAACCGATGTTGTCTGCAGTGGGGTGTGTATACTACATTCTGACACTTACTGCATGGTAATGTGAAATATCACAAGGTTATAGTTTAACCCCTTAAGGACACATGACATGTGTGACATGTCATGATTCCCTTTTATTCCAGAAGTTTGGTCTTTAAGGGGTTAAAGTATGTTAAATATTGTTTTGTAAATGTCTTTCTTGCCATATGAAGCAGTCACTTTGTCTAAATAGGTGCATGATAATCACATTCACTGGATTATAAAATATTTTATTGAAATACAAATACTAATGACATTTTACAAATACATCTGTCGGCCATTCTACAGGTCTGGAACCAGCTGAATGCTCCCATGCTACAGTTATTTTTATCTAAACTAAAATTTCTTTTCAAAATGGATTGGTTGACAACACTAACCAACAAAGAACTCCTTGCCAGGAAATTTATCCTGACCTGGAGATCGTATATCCTTACGTTAGATGACTTTTAAAACCAAAGTGAGAATATATAGCGTGGTTCTCGTCAGAAGTGTTGACGTGTCAAGACCCTATACAAATAACATCTCGTTAAACAGCAAAGGTAGCTAAAAATAAAAGCATACTTGCCTAAATTTGTAGGTTTGGGGGGAACGAACTGGCACTCAGTTAATAAAGTTACTTTAGCTGTTCTTTTTGTTTAGAAACATGTCCAGTCCACTACTTCCCAAAGCTGAAACGGACTAAATACAAAGTTAGTACTTGACAGACTCTGTCTTACCTCTTCACACGTTACTAACTGACGAACCCCAACCACACATAACTACTTATCATACGGTCTGATGTGCCATATTGTTGCAGACATTAATGAAGCTATAATGCCTACACCAACTGGACCTTAACTATTTAAGGGAACTGGACTTAAATGTTGCCTCCTTTTTTTCCTTCAGATTTTTTTTTCTCTTTTTTTTCTTTTTAATTACGTTTGTTACCTATGAAAAAAAAAATAAGAAAAGTGGATGCACCGTATTTCCTTTGCTATGTCAACTGTATAACTACTCATTATTTACGAAACTTGAAGAATGATATTGTACATGATGTATTATTTCCATCTGACATTCACAATAAAAACGGTATTGAACAAAAATACAACTATCTTCCACTGTCACCTTCTTCCCTTTTCCATCTACCCAGTTATTCTCTCACACTCTTTTAACATGGCTGGCTTGAAGGTCCCTTTTGATACCCCTACTAGCTCTTAGGTATCTGAATTTCTTGATAATACTTTGTCCTTTGGTTTCAGGAAGTTGGTAACATTTCTGATCCCATATGCTTGCAAAATGTGTGTGTTGTGGTTTGTTATCAGCTATTTTAATTTCGGCATTCCCCCCACCCTTTTTATTTCTGTGTATTCTGACCTCAGCAAATTTTGTATTCTGACCTCTTGCTTGTCTTTTCTCAGTCACCCTGTTCTTTTACTTTTCTTGGAGTGTTTTGCTAAATCCAGCAGATTTAAAGTTTTGCCTGATGTTTTACCATTTTACCTGATGTTTTACCATTTTGAAAGCTAGTCTGTAGGCAAAACTCTAAAGAAAATATAAACCGATTTGGGGGATCCAAACGTAATAAGTGAAGCAAATAAATAAATAGAGATTTTGGGAAAAAAGTAAAGCAATGACAGAGATACGTTATCATGATAAGCGGAAACAAGTTACCTGCTCGAGGTACAATACAATATTTAGTAAATGGAATATAGTTCCTTGTTTGAGGTAAAATACACTACAAAGGTTCAGACATACTGCTCTAGTCTTGGAAAGCACAAAGACAAACAAACAAAAATAAGTGGGAAACACATAGATAGTTTGTACTCACACAGTATATTGTGTTAGTGATATCCATCTGTGTGTCTGTGTCAATTAAATATACCAGGGTTATTTACTTAAGTGAGATTTGCTGGGAATTTAAAGTGAATTTAAATTTAAAGCCAACGTAGCCAAACTGGAAAAACTATCCAGCTTTCAGTTTTGGCAACTTTGGCTGTAAATTTTAAATTTACTTTGAATTTTCAACACTTCTCACTATAGTAAATAACCGTGACAATGTATTCAGGGCTATTCACTAAAGTGAGAATTCAAAGTGAATTCAAAGTGGATTTCAAATTTAAGGCCAAAGTAGCCGAACTGGAAGCACAGCAGAGTTAGAGAATGATTCCAGTTTGGCTATTTTCACCTTAAATTTGATAATCTCTTTGAAATCTTACTTTAGTAAAAAACCCTGGTTGCCAGCAATGTGTGTCATTACAATGCTGTTTGGTTATCTGAACCCACAAGAGGGCAGCAGCACAGAGGGAATGGACTGGAAAATCTAATATGAGAGTGAGCAGCAAAATTAAAATCCTTGGCATGAAAAATAACATTTAAAGGTACTCTCCAGTGCCAGGAAAACATATCCGATACCCTGCAGTGCCCTCTCCCTCCCACCCCCATCCCGTGTTGCTGAAGGGGTTAAGACCATCAACGATGTTCCTCGGTGCTAGGTCAGGCTCCGCCCACCTATTCAATGTTTTTCT